GTCATCATTTCCAATTGCTAGGTTTTAGGGCAACCCAAAAGGAATGTGTTACTATCAATTCAAGTATATATCAATTATAGTTATGGAATTAGACACCTAATCCAACAGATACCTTCTCACCAGTGGCCAAGATAAAGTATATTAGGATAATTCTTGCCATAGCTGCCTTTAATGATTATGAAATATGGCAGATGGATGTCAAAACTGCTTTCCTTAACGGGAAGAAGGTATGCTCAGTTTACTGAAATGAGTCGAGTCCCATATGCTTTGGCTGTAGGATCGATTATGTATAATATGACTTGTACTCGCCCTGATGTGTCTTTTTCTTTAAGTATGCTCAGTTGCTTTCAAGGAAATCCTGGCAGAGCTTATTGGACAGCAGTGAAGAACATTCTCATATGTCTACGAAGGACAAAGGATCTTATTCTAGTCCTTGGTGGCACTGATGCATTAAGAGTAAGTGGGTACAGTGACGCCAACTCTCAAATAGATAAAGATAATCTTCGTTCTCAATATGGTTGGGTGTTTTTGTTAAATGGATGACCAGTCACTTGGAAAGGTTCCAAGTAGGATAGGGTGGTTGATTCTACTTGTGAATCAGAGTACATAGCAACAAGTGAAGCATCAAAGGAAGTGGCTTGGCTAAAGAATTTCATTAGTGATCTCGAAGTAGTTCCGACCATTCATGAGCCAATGTAACTTTTTTCCGATAATGAAGGAGTAGTTGCTTTGACCAAAGAACTGAGAGATCATGGTAGATCAATCCATATCGACAGAAAGTACCATTATATCATACATAGAGTTGTAGAAGGTAATCTCATAGTAAAGAGAGTTTCGTCAGAATAGAATCATGCAGATCCTCTCACAAAGGCTCTGAGTAGGGTTAAGCATATACAAAATGCTAGGAACATTGATTTGAGAGATGACATTAGTTTTACTAATTATATGATTAGGTTGAAACTTGTAAAAAATAAAATGTAATTGATTTTGGTGATTGAATAATAGAGACTATTTATGAGTTTGTTTACTACCTTTGGCAATTAGTTATTCTTGTGTTTCATTTTGCATGTTTTACTTCCTGAATAATTTGATTATTCGAAACTCCATAGTCGCTCATACTTTAGGAAGTAAGTAGTGAATGAAGACTTTCATGAATTGGATTGTAGATTGTCTGAGTAGTTTACACATGGCAATTGTGTTGCTACATCATTCATGAGTACTTAGAAAATAGATGCTTGAGTATTGGATAAACCCACACTCAGAGAATTACTTCATGGATTATATCACGAGTAATTCCAAGACTATAATATCTTATATTCTTAAATGGAGATATATGAGTTGTAATTTGCAAGTCGGTTGTATATTGGTATTGCGAAAACACATCTGTAACTTGATGTTATAAAACTTAGTGTCATGTGCAATTTGGTGAGTAAAGGATAAAAGCTTATGTGTAAAAAATGTATTCGTTTCTTTTTCCCTAACGAGAAAAGGGATATCTTTGGGCCCCTCGGTGATTTGGTGTTGACTTATAGTGTTGGGCCCAGTCAGGACTTAATTGGTGTGTTCAATTAGAAGTCTTATGATGTCATCACAAATTAGGAAATCTAGAAACAAAATTTTGGATAATGAGATTGGTTCTAATCCGTGTATCATATCCATATGATATCTTTTAAAACGAAGAAATATTTGATCACTTATCTAAGAACCAATATATGATCGGATCAAAGTTCAACAGTTGCTTTGAAAAACACACTTTGCTGTTTGATTTAGAAGTTGTAGCTGTAATTTAGTTTTAGAATTATCCAAGTGGGCGACTGTTGGATTAGGTGTCTAAGCCAATAACTAAATTAGTATAATCTTGAATTATTATCAAGGTCCATTTGGGTTGCCCTCAAACCTAGTAATTGACTGGAATGCTTTTTGGAGAGAGAGAGAGATTGATTTATTAATTTATTATATGGTTAATAAATTAATTAGAAATCAAAATAAATAATTTATTAATATATATGATAATAATATATTTATTACACATAATATTGTTTAATTAAAAAAATTAGTTAGGAGTTAATTGGAATTAATTCGATTGATTAAAATTGGAAGGACTAAAGGTGACAATGTTCAAAAGTTGAACAATGACCAATTCTAGAACCTCCCACATAGGGGACATTTTCTAGAGGTTCTTTAGAGCTTTTCTTGGTCTCGAAGGAAGATCTGATGCCTTAGGAGGAAATCAAAAAAGATTAGGGTTATTCCAAATGAATCTGTCTTATCTTTAGCCTCCCTGTCTCCTATATAAATCCCCTTGGGTTTGATTTTCGAAACCCACCTCATTCTAAACAAATAATCCTAAACTCTCTTTCCCTCTCATCTCTTATCTTAAGCCTCCAACTTGTTAGGGTTTGGGTGTGAGCCACTAGAGACACAAGACTTCTGGTGACTGCTTTCTGATGACCGACAGAGAAGGAATATTAGTTTGTTTGCTATAATAAACTAAATGAATGTATTTTTCTAATACCCTTTCTCATTTTCAAAAATTATGAAAATAGCAACATACTTTTAGGGTTCTTGATATTAAATAGTTTTTTGCAAATCATAGTGAGAACATAGATCCTTTAGGTTGCATATGAACTTAGGGTTTAACTTTTCCGCTAAAAAAAGATTTTTGTAACCTATAAAACCAATCAGTAAGATCGTGTCGGAGGTAGGGTTTGTTTGGTATTCAAAGTATGTTGTTAGGAAAACCCACTTTAAACACCTTACAAAATCTAACATAGACATCATTCCCGTAAGTAGATCAATCAATATTATGATTGGAATCACTGATAAATATTATTTATACATTTATAGTAACGACTAAAAATATAAATATGAGTTACACTTAAGCGTAGTAAGTGCAGCTTAACTTATAGGAATTTCTAGCGTTAATTTAAAAAGTCGTGGGTAGAACCTCGACCCGAAAGCTTCTTTTTGTCAACGTCTCGCTAAAGTGTTCCACAAACTTAAGGAAAATCAGACTCAAAGGTCGAGAGAGGTAAGATAGAAAGGAGATGGGAGTTGTGAGCAAAAGAGTTGAATTGTGGCTTCTATTTATAGGGAAATACAGGGGGAATGTCGCACCATATTAGAAGGCACGCTGCGTCTTCAGTTGACGCATCCAGTATCGGTTGGTGCCACATGTCAGCATTTCAATGGTCCATGTCAGTCTGTTAACACTGCCTCCGACTAATCCATGTGTCATCATATCGTGGCGCCATGTGTCCTAATCACGTGGTGCCAAGTCGACGTGTCGGTTGGAAGACCCGAATCTCACTCGGCCACATGGCGCACTCCGGTACTGCCACGTCATCACAAACATGTATTTTTTGAAAACTTTGAAAGGCTAAAACTTTCGTATACACGCTCCATTTTCGATGTTTTTAATATCCATGTGTAGGTAATCTTGAGTACTGCAACTTTCATGTATGCATCAACAACTAATTCTCAGTTTATTTGAAATTCATATTTTGATAAAGATTAAACTGTTAAGGTCCGTGCAAAAATCATAACTACTTCATACGAACTCCGTTCTCGACTGTCTCTATATCGACGTCTTTGTTTTTACGAGATCTTCAACTCTCAACCGATCTAAATTTTGATTTCTGTGTCGCACACTGTTATATTGTGTCGCATCGAAACTTCAAAAAATCATAATTTCCTCTTACGAAATCAGATTTGGACGTTCTCTATATCTACGAAAAATTTATTAACGTCTACTGCATTTTATGATAGTTATTTTGGTTAAAAAGTAATATATTTCCACTTCAAATTTTATAAATAGTCGTTTATATTAAATTCTACTGTAAAATCAAAACGAGATTTTATAATTACATTGGAGAGGAAGCAATAACTTTCAATGGCGGGATTCCAATTTTCTCTTGGAGGGAAAGGAATTTTCATGACGATAGAAATTTTTCGATGGAAGGATGAGTTCATCGTGTTATATGCCCAATTTTTTGCCAAATTCTAAACACTACACATTTTGGTATAAACATTGCATCTAGTTTATTTATATATAATTTTTATTAAATAAATAATTAAAATTTTTATTTATTCTGTTATGTATAATATAGCATGTATGATTTTAGGAAACTTTTAATGGCATATTTTAATTTTGTGGCATTAATAACTTCGTATATTAATAACAAAAAATATAAAATGTCACTAAAACTAGTATTTTTTTTGGTGATATGTACAAAGTGCCATTAAAAACATAAATTAGTGGCACAAAAATCAAATGTCATCAAAAGCAACGACATTTTGTTTGTAGTGGTACCAAGCCTAAGCTGCTTCTCACCGGAAGCAAAAGACAGAAGCAAAGCAAAAGCATGAAGCAAAACGAAGCCGAAAAAACTAAACCTTTTTTTTTTAACGACAAATTTTATTAAGGAAGGCCCCAATTAGAAAGTGGCTAGAAGCAAAACCAACAAACAAGAGAAAACATAAGAGTTATAAAGCACAATTTCAAGTACAATTTCAGGTACAATGAAATGGAAATGTGATACGATGTTGGCAACCTGAGTTTATGGTATCCGGCTAAACCCAGTTAGCCAACATCATGGCAAATTAGCCAACATTAAAGCGGATTAACCCCAGCTGGAAACTAACAATTGTTCCTAACCCATGTATTGATTTAATATGTATAATAATTGTTTCGTGTCTAACGGGGAATTTGTTTGTCATTATAGGCCTACAAACAGTTCAACAGTTCCACTTGATATAAATTAACATCATTATTTAACTTAGATTAAGATAAGTCAAATAATGAGAACGGTTCAAAACCAAATCATCTACCGATCGTTAATCTGCAAATTCATTTAACAAAATTTAATTTAATTCAAAATCAACTCACCCAGCAGCAAAGACTGCTTCTGTTTACAAAACTAGAATAAAAAAATATATATATAATATCATACAAAGAATTGAAGTGTAATCAAACACCCACAATCGGTGTGTTTAGTAATCTAATAATATACGGCCATCTGGAGCTTCGCCTGAGTGGACAGCCGAGATCTTTTTGCAGGGTGAGGGCTTTCCACCTCCTCATCGGCATATCCTGACAAACTATTTTCCGGCAACGCCGGCAGATTCAAGTCAAAACCGCGTTGGCTATGATAGGAAGAGGTGACGCCGGTGCTGACGTGTCCACCGCCAACGGTACCTTCGTAGTGACACCTCTTATGCCCACCCAACGCTTGTCCTGTGGAGAAACACCGGTGGCAGATAGAACATTCGTGACTCCTCCCACTACCGCTAGTTGATGCAGTAGTTGAGGTGGTTGTGACGGAGGAGTATTGTTCCATGACGTCACCTCCACCGGCGTTGTTCTTCCTGTGACTAGCTTTATGGCCACCGAGAGCCTGATAACTACCAAAACCCTTGTCACACACGTTACACTTGTAACTAGTTTTCGAATGATGTAGATGACTCCTTTTCTCAGGTGGATCGACTGTAATTCTCCGGCGAATTGGTTGAGGAGTAGAATCAGACCCACGAGCGAGAAGCATGAGACATAGAGCGAGGTACTCTTCCTCAGTAGGCGGGTGATCAGTTCGGGGACGTTTGGATCGTTTTCCTTTAGTCCATGACTCCAAATGGCGAAGATGATTGAAGGAGTCCTGACGGAATAAAGGAGCAGGTCCGGGAGTTGGAGAATTCAGAGCTTCAAGCGCCATTAGAGAGATGAAGAAAGTTACAGAGAAAAGAGAGAGAGAGAGAGAGATGGAGGTGTGGATTGAGTGAAGAGAATTTTGGGGGTATTATAAAGGGGTGAGGGGTGGGAGGGAAGTTGCGTGAGGAGTGTGGAGGTTTGAGTGCCAAATGGAGTGAAGTCGGTTATGAATGTTCGCGTGTTGTTGGGGAGAGTTGTGTGCGTGTAACAATTAAGAAACGACTGGCCACCCAACTATCTCATAAGTCATAATTAATTACAAGGGTTTGCCACCGGATCCATTATGTTCAGTCACTTTATGTAAGTATTAGATATATGATCAAAGTCAACAACTTAGAGGTTTAGCCAAATCACATGTGAAAAGGTGTTTGTTTTTATAATATTCATCTTAGCCTACTGCCCATTTACAAGTCAACACCATATCATATAATTTTACCATTTAATTTATTTAACTTTAAATCCATATAATGCAAAACTTAAATAAATATCAACTAGATATTTCCACACATTCGTCATTTGACTAAACCATACAATATAGATAAAATATAAATGCTTTAAAGATCAAGGAACTTTTATGTTATGAACATTTCTAACATAGTCGGGTGTAACTAAACAGCAATAGTTGTATTCAACACATTTTGATACACCGGGACTAATATGGTACATGACCAATCGTACATGTACCCTCCTCGGACAATAGTTTCCGCTTGTGGATTGGGATTGCCGAACCACAAATGATCATTTTGAATGACTAAACTAGACTTGTTTGTCGGTATGTTACATATGACCGAACGCCACTTGTGATGAGGAATACAATCTACACGATAGAAGAAGTAATTAACGAACCCAATGCATTCACTATCAATGCCAGCAAGATTGTAACGCCCGTGTTTCTAGGCTAAGCATTAGTATGATGATGTAATAGTCTAGGTCAACCATTGTAACTCATTTTGAAGTAATAATGATGAATTACTTGAATATTATGTGAATTATGTGATTTTATGTGATTATACTTGGTTGCAAAGATATAATAAAAATGAGCGTCAAAAATAAAATGTTAGATAATCCTGATATCTATCAAGAAAGTTGTGGTAGTCGTGACAAGGATTTCGGAGATATAAAGAACGCGGAAATCCGAGTTATAACGAAGAAGTTATGACCTGTTGAAGTTTCGCGACAAAACCGGCACGACACAGGGAATCGTAAAAAGTGAGTTTGCGATAGAGTACTTTTTAGCTCTAGAGTTCTAAATGAAAGTTGTAGAGTACGTCTCCACCTTCGCGTGGATATAAACAACGTCAAAACGGAGCTCGTATGCAAAAGTTATGACCTTCCGAAGATGCAGCTGTCTGAGAGCATGACACGTGTCAGAAACCTTAATTTGACTGAGCTCACGACGTGAGCATATAAATTCACGATGTGAGGAGTCAAAACGCCACTTTTTAAGGTTAGAATGCAGATGACAAGTCTACGTTCAAAACTCACGATGTGAGCATGATTTCTCACGACATGAGGAGTCAAACGGACACCATTCGAAGCTAGGGACACATGGCGAAGCTACAAGGTGATACAGCCATGGATCATGACGTGAGCATTGATTCTCACGACGTGAGAGACCAAAAATCAGCCTATAAATAGCCATTTCGACCGCAAGGCTCGTTACACTTTCTACTTTCATTCTCTCTCGTTTCCGAAGGCCATTTCCGCTTCCCGAGCCCGACGATCACCAACCGCTGACCGTTTCTAGATAGATTCTATTAAAGCACGGTACAAGTTAGTGCATATTATTTTCATCTTACACATAGGTATGAAGTATTTTATAGAAATTACATGCTATGTGTGCATATTATCTGTTTACTTGAGATCTATGTTGGATGAAAGATTTAAACTTTGTTTTTCAGATCTAAACCTTTTCTTCATATCTGAACTGTTCATGTATTTTATATCTAAAAATATGTTGGGTAAAACATGGGTAGATGAAATAGTTGGTCTGTGGTGAAAAATGAGTTGGAAGATGAGATGAGAGGTGATATAGATCATGAGATGAGGGTGAGAGGTGAAAAGTGAGAAGAGCCTTTACCCAAACGTTGGCCCTGTCATCTAGTAGAGTATGGATGACAACCATGGACTATTATAGACGGTCCGTGGAACACTAGCATGCTCGCAACCTGTAGGTGTTGTGAACGATATGTTCACTGGTGTACTCTAAAAACCCATTGACATGTATATCGGGTGGATTCCCGAAAATAATACTGTTGACAAATGGGCTATGGACTTAGCACCCGTTGGATGAACCCTGACAACTATGGATTTAGTGCCTGTTGTATAAACCCTGGCGACGATGTATTTCGTGCCTATTCCTTAGGAAAATTCCTTAGGAATGAGTGGTAGATAATTCTTAGGGTAGACCCTTAAGAAATAAAGAAGATAATGGGGATGGATAATTGGGTTAATTGTTTGATGATAAAACATAATAACTTTATTATTGTGGGTTGAAAACCCTATGTACTCACTAGGTTTCCCAACCTGACCCACTCAGTTTATTTGTATCACTGGTGTCGATACGAAGCCACATTACACTGAGAGATTAAAGGAGATGTAAATCACTAGTGTAAATGAATGTAAGTGCTGTTTATGCTTATGTTTGATCGGATGCATGGTCTATTGCCGACCGGATCTGAAAATTTTATGTGTTCAGATTTCTAAACGTTTAATTACGATATTAGAACTGGCATGTAATTTTTCAGAGTAATAAGGAAGATTACACAGCTAAACCTTCTCTCTCTATATTCTCGTCCTGGTGCAATGAACGCCTTCTTCCATGAACATAACGTCATGGTGAAGACTCATAGTGAACTGAGTAAATGGAGGAAACGAGGAGTCTTACGATAGTGAATGACACTTATCGGAAGATATCGTAAGAGAGGTATCTTGTCTTTATAATACGTATGATAAACTAACAATACGTTTAGAGAAGTACGGTACATCCGAATGTACATATTTGATTGGCGGGATGATAGAACGATTGGTGTAATTCCCAAAGTTGTCCTATCGTCTGGCGTTTCCATCACCAACCGAGTTGAAGCAGAATTGATGATTGAAGATACGCATGGAAGAAGTCCTAGTAGAGTCTAGGGAATATTTTTATGATTATTTGGACACATTCGTATGTGTTAAATTGTTTTGTGATTTTAGGAAATAACATCTTAGGGACTGCGAGACAATACTTGGGACGAGTATGAGTAGGTGTGAAAGGTAGCAGAGGCCTATACTACCGGAATCACATGACTTGCACTTGGATCGGGGAAAGTCACAAGGTTACCAAGAAGCTAGTATTGATTCCGTTTTGTTGAAGTATGTTGTTACCATCATTTCGGTGATGACTAAGAAGATGATATTTATTCCGACCCTAGTGGTCATATCAAATCGAGTCTAACTAAGAGGAGTATGTTACGTGGTGCAGAGAACAAGATACGAACATTATGAGTTCTTGGTTATGTCATTTGGACTAACCAATGCTCCAACAATGTTCATGGATTTGATGAATAGGGTTTGTAAACCATTCCTTGATAAATCCGTGATAGTGTTCATAGATGACATTCTGGTTTACTCAAAGAGTCAACAACAGCATGCCAAGCACCTGCGAGAAGTGTTAGAAGTTCTAAAGAAGGAGAAGTTGCATGTGAAGTTCTCTAAGTGTGATTTTTGGATTCGAGAAGTCCAAAGCTTGGGTTATGTGGTTAACCAGGAAGGAATAATGGTTGATCCAGCAAAGATTGAAGCTGTGATGAAGTGGGAACGACCAAAAATTCCCACGGAGATTCGAAGCTTTCTAGGATTAGTTGGATATTACAGAAGATTTATGCAAGACTTTTCTTCGATAGCTGCTCCATTGACAACTTTGACCCATAAAGGAGCTACATATACTTCCAATGAGAAACACGAAGAAGCATTCGGGAAGCTAAAGAAGAAGTTGTGCGAAGCACCAATTCCTTCTTTACCTGACGGAGTTGAAGACTTCGCAGTTTATAGTGATGCATCTAGAGTTGGGTTAGGTTGTGTTTTGACCCAAACGGATAAGGTGATAGCATATGCATCTCGACAATTGAAGGAGCATGAAAAGAACTACCTCACTCATGATTTGGAGTTGGCAGCGGTAGTATTTTGCCTAAAGATATGGAGGCATTATCTTTACGGCACAAAGTGAAAACTTTTCATTGATCATAAGAGTCTTCAGTATCTCTTGAATCAGAAGGAATTGAACATGAGACAACGACGCTGGCTAGAGTTACTCAAGGATTACGACTGTGAGATACTTTACCACCCTGGTAAAGCTAATGTTGTGGCTGATGCCCTAGGTTGGAAAGTGAGCCTTGAAAGGAAAAGGCCAAGAGCGTTAAGAATTGAAGTTGTGTCAACGATTGTGGAAAGCATCAAGAAAGCTCAAGAAGAAGCTTCAGAGAAAAATGAACGAAAGGAAAAACGTTAGTGTTTGGTACAAACAATCAAGAGTTGAAGGTATTCCAGGATAGAATTTGGGTACCTAAGACGGGAGGAATAAGAAATCTTCTGATGGAAGAAGCTCACAAGACCATGTACTCGATTCATCCCGTCAACACTAAAATGTATAGGGATCTGAAACCCTAATACTAGTGGCCGACGATGAAGCTTGATGTTGTAAAGTATGTGGCCGAGTGTGTAACATGTGCGAGGGTTAAGGCACAACATCAGAAACCATATGGGAGTTTAGAACCTTTACCTGTACCCATGGGTAAATGGGAAGACATCATGGATTTTGCCACTAAACTGCCCCGAACGAAGGATGGTCACGACATGATTTGAGTGGTCGTGAATCGATTCACTAAGAGTGCACACTTCATAGAAGCCAATGAGAAATGGTCTATGGATAAGACGCAAATTCTTACGTGAAGGAGGTGGTAAGACTTCACGGTGTTCCTTTAACGATTATATCAGATTGTGATAGTCGTTTCACGTCAAGGTTTT